CGTCAATCAGGAGGTTTACGAGGCAGTTGAACACGACATCACTCTTTCCCTTATCAACTATCCTTTCGATGAGGCTCAGCGGCACAACATTTTCTACAAGGTGACTTTTGATCAATTGTGTCACCAAATCGTACAGATCATGTTGATAAAACTCTTCGAGTTCAGATTCGGAAGGTTTCCACTCCAAACCGTCTTCATTAATAGGATAGTTGATCAGTTTTGTTACCAATTCCAAGGGAAACGTGTCGCTTCCCACATCACAACAAATCCGATGTACAAGATCCTTCAGTGAGGGCATTATTGAATTCAGTTGAATGCCTCGACAAACCCAATCTGGAAAAGAGATAACACAAAATCCAAACTGTAGGGCGTTTAAATGACGAGAACAATAAAACATACTTCTCAAAACACTGTTTCTAATTGAACTTAGTCTAACACTGGCCACTAGCAGTTCACCTTTAACCGATGGAGATTCGGTTCGAACCAAAACACCACCACTCACTTTTTTTCAATCCGTTGTATGACACGGCAGTTCGCTGATTGACCACTTCTCCCCTTTTTTATTACACACCTAATTGTGATAAACAGCAGACGGGGTAAACCCCATTGTCCCGAGGACCTGCTGTTTAGTGGTGGAAACCGGCAACCTAAGCCCCGGTAGGTTAGACGAGGTATTGAACCGGACGACAACATAGCTGCTTATCAATAAATCTTACTGAAGATTTTCTGCAATAACATGCATTCAACAAAGAAACTTTAAAGATTTAAACGAGAGACGTCCCCAGCGTCACTCAGCGTTTTTTTTTATTTTGAGGGCGCACCTCGAGCCTTTACACAACCAAAGGCAGCGGGAAGTAACCCCTTGCCTCGGAAGTGAGGGGGTTAATGACTTTAGTTTTAAAAGGTCAGTCATATCGATCTTGGCACGATACCGTCATTGGACTTATGCGGCTATTAAACTGCAGCCAGGTGACCATCCTGAAGCCGACCACACCCTGGTGGTGCGGCCGCTGTGTTCGCGACTGCTTCTTTGTTGCGTTATGCCACAACTTCTTCACAGCAACCTTCTGCGATGCGGGTATCCCCCCATGCATAAGCCGGGGAAGCATCTGGTAGCATCCAGCTCTGTATAACCCAAGGCTCTCGTTGATCGGACCTTTGGATACATAGAACGGATGCCTTTGAAGCACTGCTAGTGTCTGGTGGGAATCGGGCGAGCAATGACGAAATTCGTCGTGTGCTGGGTACTGGTGGTCATTCTCTAACGGAGGAAATCGTTTTACATCGCCTCCGACCGCTCAGTCATGTTTTGCGTATGCCTGGGTGCCAACTACCTTTCCGTGCTCTCTTCGTACGTGCCGGGCAAGGCTGGAAGAAGCGGCGCGGCGGACAGACCATGACATGGTGTAGAGGCATGAAAAAGTTAACCTCAGCATTGGCTTCGGTTGGTGCAGCTCGCCTTCTAGGCTGGGGCCCAAGGGATGAGGACTGCCGATGGCTAGAGATGATGATATATGTGGCTCAGAATAGATGTCAGTGGTGCGATTGCTGTGCGGGTTGTTTGGCGAAACCCCGTTCCCCATAACACAAAATAATCTTAAAAAAGTGTACGATGAAACTATCAGAAAAACCATTCATTTATTGGTTCTCCCTGCTCTCTGTTTCCCCTACTTTCATTTAATCTTTCTGTACGGCACCATATGGTAATTACCATTGTTTTGCATTAGCACCATACTTGTTCTAAAGCCGGCGTAATATATATATATATATATATACTCGTGCTGGTGCCAACTTGCAGTACTGTGACTAAGCGTGGGCACCAGTATTAGTGCGGAATAACCTGGCACTGGAGAAGGTTTACCGCCGTTTTACACGGATTTTCCTCCAACTAAGAAGACTGACATACACGAAGGACTGCGAGCATTGGGTCTGTTTTCATTCAGGCCCAGGCCAAAGCAGGTGAATCTATTTTAGGAATCCACAACAGGACCCTTTGGCTAGCCAAGGCCTGACCCGCAAGGCGGCG